TGTAAATAGATACACACAGAGAGAAAGAAAAGCGGGACATTTACAAAGAATCCGAACCTTTCCGATCCCCTCACCTCCTGGGTGTTGAAGGACCCCTCCTGCACGAATGCTCTTGCTAAGGCTTCGCTGTACCCTGCAAATACTTATAACCGGAAATGGTGAAATATACAACAACTGTTAACATCGCTCTCTTTTTATCACCGAGACAATACTTCAAAACCTTTTATAAAAAGGCAGTTATACAGACAGAAAAAAGAACACGTTGGCAAAACTTGATGCAAAACAACCCCCAAACTGAGTTGGAAAGGGTGACACACCTGCACTGTAATTGAACAGGATGACGCTGTGGCCTCAGCACATGAGAGCTGCGTGGCCTTTGCATCAGTCACCCTGCTACCTGCACCCCCCCTCCCCACCCCCCGCGCCGCCACACACCAGCCTGCACGGGCGTCATTCCAGGACACAGCTGAGACTGGAAGTTGGTTCCGCCAATTCTTAGTCTTTTCAAAATGAGAAAAACAAAAAAGGCGGGCCACTCACTATGGAGGAACGCCTATTTCTGCTCCTAGGCACAACTCCTTTTAAGAGGTTGCACTCATTCTGGGTCCCAAGATGGTGAATCCCAGGCGTCTCTCGGTGAGAACGCCGGCAGCCAAGTTCTGACTTTCTGAGCATGCACAGGTATGGAGTTGTGCTTAGGGCCAGAAATGAGGTCGCCCGTGTGGTGACAAATGTCTCTTTCCATTTGCTTTTGCTCAGTCCGTTTGCACAGGTTCAAGAGAGTTGATGGAGGGTCAGGTGAAAGGTGGTGGGCACTCTGGATTTTCTATGTCTCTGAAGAGCTAAGACTTGGAGGGGCCTGTGCTAGAGATGGTGTGGCCCCCTCAGTCTCCTCTCCCTGTGGGCTGGGGTCTGCCCACCTTCTGCGACTCAAGAGTGGCAGCGAAAGGAGCAGATAAAAGGGATGTGGATGGGTGAATATACCCCTCATGGCCCTTTCTTCCCCTTCCTGGATGTGGGCCACAGCTGGACTTCACTCAGCCAGAAGACCAGAGACTTCCAATAACTCCAAGTTTAAGGCGAACCGATAAGTAAGCATGGGATAAGCCAATGGAACATCAAGTCTTACGGGGACAGTCCTTTAACCAACGACATCAAATAGGAAAACCTTAATTCTAAAGGGGTGAGAAAAGGAAGAATTCTACCAAATGAGATGATTCACGATTAAAGCTTGTAGCCCTCCTGCAAGCTGCCTCAAAGAAGCAAAATGTCTTTCTAAGAGGAGAATTAATTAGAGGCGCAGAACAAGAGAAAGGCGCTCGGGGACCTTTAGCCTATGACAGGCCATAATCAGCCTTAGCATCTTAAGCTCTTGTAGAGGATGGAATTAGGAAGCAGTGTTCAGTTCTGGAAAAGCAAACTCCTCCCCTGCCCCTCAACACACACACACACACACACACGCATGTGCACGTTTGATGACACAAAGAGAGGAGGAGGAGGGGGCGTGTGGTGAGGACGGCAAGGGGCTTGTCGACTGCAAGTTGCCTTCCCTTTCCAAGGGGACCGTGCGGGAGGCATCACAGTTAACTTAGTAATGAAAAAATCTTCTTGCTAGCAGTAGCAGTGTGTTCTCTTTGCCCCAAGAGACTGACCTGAAACAAAGAAAAGGACATCACATCGGTGGGAGACAAGAGACTTTGGGCGGGCCTGTCCTTAAGGGCGCAGTGTCTGCTCTGGGCGTCTCCCTGTCCTGAGGGTGGCTCCTCAACTGACTAAACTTTTTCAAGGAATGAACTTGACTTCTCACTGAACAGGTGACTACGAGTGATTTGAAGACAAAAACTCTCCTCTGCAGTAATGACATCAAAACTTTCCTAAGATCACGGTGGTGTTACATCCAGCCTCAAGTGGCTGGAGCCGGCGGTGTGACATTGAGCTGGACTTGGGGCAGAGGGGCCCTGCAACATATTTAGATGACCCGCCACCAACAGGACGGCCCCAGAAGAAAACCTTCTGAAGGCAAACAGCAGGAAGTAGGTCACCCATTTCTTTTCTTCTCTGAGCAAATATTTTAAACCATCTCATCTGACAGGAGATACACTTAATTGCATTTTAAAAAGCTACCAAATTATCTCTGCACTGGGAAACTTCCAGATGAATTGACATCTTCCTTTTTAGCATTGAAATTGTATAGGCTGTACATGCAGTAACTACCACCTTATTAAAAAAATCAGGAACTTCTCTTTCCTCGTGTTAAAAACACCCCCCTTTTTTGCTGTGGGGGTGGGGTTGGGTGGGGTAGAGAACCCTCTGAAATATGGCTCAGTTGACCAGTGGTAAGACTTAATAATTCTAATCATTTGCTCTGGCCTTTAAAAGGAACAAAACAAAATGATTTTGCTGATGGAATGGAAGCAGCGAAGCTTTTTAGTAATTTTCTCTGATTGCTTGGTGGATGATTGTAATGTAGCAGCGGCAGTTTTGTACGGAAATTACTGTGAGTTTAAGTGTTTTCTGGTAGGTCATAAAGACATTACTTTAGAGAAGGGCCTGTATTAGTGGAATGAACAGATGACCTCTCTGAGAAGTTCAGCCAGAACAAGTTCTGGGCGCAGGAACTTTGCCATCCACACAGTGGCAAGAACAGCGCCCGCCTTTGTGCCTCTCAGATGGGGAAGACAGGACCGGCGCTACAGCACTTTCTCAATTCCGGGGCCACAGACGTCTAGACTGGCATTGCTTTGCTCTTCTTCTGCTCGATCCACCTCTATCAATGTGGCTTAAGATTGGCATCATCAGCATCTCTGGAGATTCGGCCTCAAAGGGCCAGAGGGGGTGTGGGCTTTTCTAGCTGAGGGAGGGGCTTCGCGTCCCCATGTGTTAGTTGTATTCTTCTTTGTGCTTCATTGGAAAAGAGGTAGAGCGGGCACTTTCACAGTGAGAAGAGCCCGGATTGTGGTGCCATCACAGGAATGAATGACTGGCCTTGGTATCAGATTTAAATCAATCCTGACACAGCTCTAAACAGCTTTTGGGGTTTCCCTTCTCCATCCATGGTGTCTCTGGTTTGGCGGTTTGGTTGCCCTGCTCTGGGGCCTCAATAGAAGCAGTTCATGCAACACCTTATAAGTTGCAAACTCATCCGGTCACTGACAAAGGACAACATCAGAGAGAAAAAAAAAATCATTGTTTAATAAGAGTTGTTGGGAGGGGAGGGTGACACCTTACAAGGAGAATACAAATGCCTCCTCTGTGTGGTCCTTCAAGAGGAGCCTTTTAGCTCACAACACAGCCTGCACATCCCGCCAAGGCACAAAGCGATGAGGTCATCTAACCGACAAGAAGCAAACAGGATGGTATTTTCTCAAGGATCGAAGGTTAACAGAACCACTTCACACCCTGACCCTCTAAGGAAGAATCTTCCGCTGACCTCTGGTCAAGAGTTGGAAAACCCCAGCCTGAATCTCCTGTACTGGAAGAATGTGACCTCATGGAAGGGCGATGAGATGGTTCATGTCTCTAAAGCAACAAGGGACGATGATTCTCCTGTGCCAAGGGATATAGCAAGAGGAAGGAGAAACCACAGACGGCCTCCGGTACGTGGGTGGCCCTCAGGCGCACTGCGCTCTGGGAGCCAGAGGCGGTCCGAGCTGTGCTCTGGCGGAGTATTTTGTTGTCCTGCCTACTGACAGTCACTCCTGGGCCTTCAGTGGTTCAATGAGCATCTAATGAATTACAAAATCTAAAAGATCATCAGCTTGTAAACCTCAACAAATCTGTAATGAAATGAAGGACCCAAAGGCATTTAATTATTGAACACATAAAAGGAAGTATATTTAAAAAAAAAAATTGGTCAAACTGTCCTGTTAGTTATCATTTTAAAGGAATTTACAGGGCTGTTATAGATTATTCTTTTGGAATAATTCAGTTTATAGCAAATGCCTAAACTGGTTTCTTCATTGCACAGTATATTTTCTTAAAATGGGTGCTTTAAAACAATTACATACATATTAAAAATCCTCATTTCTCTGCTTAATTAAAATGTTAATACTCTCAGACAACACAGATCTGAAATGGTGAAACCAGCAATTCCCCCTCCCACCTTACAACAAATTAAATTGAGACAAAATTACAAACACATTTCACTACATGATTATTAATAAAAATCAGTTTTTTTTTTTTTTATAAAGTTGCCCGAAATGCAAGGGATGTGCATAGGTTTACAACTTAGTCATAATAGCATTTTATTCTTACTCCCCTGGGTGTGCCCCGTGAACGGAATGTACTTTGCTGTAGATTACAGATTGTTTTGTCCAACACAGACACACCGACAGCATAAACGCTCGCGACTGTCCACATGCATTAAGAGTCAAGACCCAACTTCAAATCTCTAAAAGGTTTACAGGGTGCTTCAAAGAGACAGTATCACATTATCTGGATGTTACATAAAGGACTTAAAAAAAAAAAGCTATTCTAAAAAAAAAAAAGAAAAAAGGCCTTTAGAAATTTATGACTGTTTTGTAATCACTAAGACTGATTATTTCAAATAAATAAAGGAAAGAAAGATTCCAATTCATAAAATCAGACTCTAAAAAGAATGTAGTGTTCCACCCCCAGTCAAGGTAACAGAATCATTGTTTATTATTAAAATAGATTATAGAAAGCAGCATCTATTTTGTGCAGTTTTTAGGGGCCTTGGAAATAAAAAGCTATGATTTCCAAAAATATAACATTCCAAAGGATTGAATAATACATACATTTAAAGATACATTTTATTAAAGTTTAGGAGAACTGATTAAAAAAGATACTGTCTCTTTAAATGAGTGTGTAATTGTTTTCTCCTCCTATCTATTCGGACATGACAATAATTATAAATGGAGGTCACACTACAACTAGGTAGTCTCTAGGGACCATGACCTGCTGACACACGGCCGATAACAAAGAGGCTTTTCCATGTATGAGGTGGCTCCTGGGTTCGCGGCAGGTCTCTTGGGAGAGGCCTAATAGACCCAGGAGACCGGGACCCACTGCGGGGCTGTGCACACGAGCTCCACGGCTTCCTCCAGATGTCTGATTGTCTCATCAATTTCATTGTTGATAATTGTGAGATCGAAGTAGTGTGCGTATGTTCTCTGTAAGATATCGGACTCCTTCTGCAGACGCTGAAGAGATTCATCCTAAATGGCGGTGGGATGGAGGTCGGGGTAGGGCATGGGAGGAGGGAAAAAGCAAAGACAAGACAGAAGTCAGCTGGACTCTTTCTCTCTCCACGTTCCCGTTACTCCCAGTGTCACAAGCAGGCAAGGCCGGACCTCGATGTGCTGCATCGGGGCACGAGGCCAAGTCCGCTTTGTGACAGAGGAGGCAGTGGGCCCTGCGATGGCAGGGTCACGGAGGAGCGGCCTGTGGCCCGACTGCTCACCATGCAACGGGAGCTCCATGCCAAACCGGGGGATCAGAGAAACCAGACACTCTTCGGCAAACACAACACCCCACCGGCCCGGCTGCTGCCATCTGCCCCAGCGGGAGCCAGTCTCCTGACCGACCGGCAGTGAGGGCTCCGGAGGTGAGGACAGAGCCCTGCATCCCCCTGCTTCCCTCTGTCCTCTGCTCGCACTTGTATGGGGCCCCAGAGCCCAGCTGCATCCGCACCAAGAAGCCACTGCCTCTGGCCAACAAATTAAGTTGCATTTTCCCCTCTTCTCCTTAGAGGTCCAACATGTTCCAGGAATTCAATTACGTATAATGGCCCTCGCTCAATAGCAGTGGATGCCAGAGGCAAAAGCTTTTTGGATGTTGCAAATAATGGATGAAATAAGGCCATTTCCCAGATACAACAGCAACTGGCATCTGATGAATCCCCTCAAACTGCTCTATGCTGGAAATGGCCAGATGTCACTGGTACCGCTCAGGGAAAAAACTCAAGGGAAAGCAGCGACTGAACTCTAGGGGGCTTTGCTGCAGGAAAGGACTTCCCCTCAACTCCTAGAGCTTGCTGCAGATCTCTTAAGGGCCACCAGAAAGTCTGCCTCTGGATCCTCACAGGGCGGATACCATTAGGTTGAACTTTCAATGGACAAATTCAAATCTGAGGCCAGAGAACTCTGTAAGTCAACTTTGCCCTGCCTCTCCCCCAACACGAGGTAGGTAAGGAAGGTATTGGGCTGAGTCTTACGTATGTGGAGACATAGTTAATACCTGTTTATGTGATTAGTATCTTTCCCCGACTGGAGCGTAAACTTGTCTGTGTGCCCGGTCATTGCTGTGCCCAGCATTTGGCACTGTGCCCCGCACACAGCAAGTGCTTACTTGGAAAGAAAGCACCTGGCTAATATTGCCCATTATGGGATTTGATGCGTGCAAACCTCTACTAGGTCCTACTATTCTACTAGGAAATGGAGGCCCATGATAACAGAGACCTCCAGAAACACTAAAGGATGCGGGAGCCATGGTGCCCAGAGCTGACTTAAGACCCCTCCTCTTCTCTGAGGCCCATCCATTATTTGTGAGAAACCCTTGCTGATGAGCCCCGGTCTGTGGGTGGGAGTCTCTGGGAAGGGGATCGAATGGGGTGTCACCGGATCCCATCACAGCACCATGGTGTGGGTGGACAGTTACGAGGCAAGCTAGGGACTCCATCTTTTCTCTCAGGATGCTCTGAAAGGATTGTCGGATGTGGTCTGTTGTTGTCTACTGGGATTTCAAAGCAGGGCATGGTATGCTGGGCCGTGCAATGTTAACTATTACAGTGTAGATAAGACCTCAGTTCCTCACCACCTTCTAAGGTCCTATCAACACGCTTTCCACTTGCACTTAGAGTATTTTCACTGTGGCTATACTTGACAACGAACAATGCAGAAGCCCCATTTTAGGAAACACTCATTCACCCAAAGACGGGAGTGCATCCTGCCAGCCTGGGAAGAGACCATTCCTACCACGTCACTCTCTGGGCTAGGGGACTCCACTGAAAAACACCGTCCTGGGCCTCAGAGACCATGGGCAGACTTTAGGATTTACTCAGAAAGCTGGGTTGATGAAAACATTCAAGAAAATGTATGGCTGACGGCATCAATTTTTAAACGTAGCTCTCTTTACAGAAAAAGAAAGCTTCCTCTTAAGGACCTTACAGGCTGAAGCTATATTTGTCGGTTTATTCCTCTACAGCACTTGTCTGCGGGCTTGCCTTCCGCATGAGCAGGGTTTAACTCAGTGAAGACAAAATGCCTCTATTCTACCAGCAGAAGCCAGGATTTATGGGAAGGAAAGGACTATGTTCTATATCTAGGAAAGGAAACAAGGTTGGATTTCATCACCTCCTAGCTGGTACTTACGGGCAATTTTCTGCACCATTTTGGCAGCTATGGAAAATTAGTGAAAGGGCAGGAAAACAGGCAAAAACAAAAAACAAAGATGACAATCCAAGAAAAATACATGGCAACCAAAGGATAAGCGCTAAGCACAACGTGGGGTTTCACACAGGCCAGGGTGTTAACGGAGATGGGAAAGGCAGATTTACAAAGGGATACGCCACTTGCAAACAACAGGACAAAAACTAATGACCGGAAGTAAGAGTAACATAGAAATGTAAAGATTTAGCCTTCCTCAGAGGCCTGCAACATGAACACTTCCAAGCCTGACTGTAGTGTTCTGGGCTCTGGTGGGTTTAGGCCAGTGGTTAACTGAGCAGAGCCAAGAGCCCTCTGGTGGTTTCTCGACCCAGCAGAAGCAACGGAGGACTCTGTGCACGAGACTCCTCGTAAGAGTGGCCCTGCAGCAGATCAGCACGGATGCACTTACCAGACACTCCGTAACTACCCTCTGATCTGCCCAGCCACAGAAGGCCTCTGGATCAGCTGGGTACTAGATGGTGATGCCAACTCTTGAATGCACTATCTCTGCGGCAGCTGCTGGCTTGATTTAGCCTGACAGGGGACAGAGCTCATGTCCAGGTTTGGTGGTCTCCAGGGACCTGCATGGGCTCCGCTCCAGAGGCTGCCTGAGGGAACTCGGGCAGCTGGGCCAGGGTCATGGGTTCCTTATAGCGCTCTTCTGGCAAAGCAATCACTGGCCTAGAGCTGGGCCTGTGGCCTGCCACTGTCTTAGCCCAGCGCCCATTAGGGGTGGAGAGGGCCACAGTGGCTCGGCAAGCTTCCACGCCTTCATTTCCTTGTCTTACTGATGTGGGGCTTTGGTCTTGCACACAACACACACATGGATCCTAACGGCGGGTAAAAACGGAGCGGCCCTTACCTCATTTAAACCTGGAGTGATAGTCGGTGCGGCAATAAAAACAACAAAAGGAGCAAACTCTGCAGTCCTCAGGACCTTCAGTGCCTGTGTACAAAGCAAAAACTGGAACTTAGAAATCATGAGTGCAGCATTTAATGGAGTCCGTAAGAAATCACACAACGGAAAAAACCCTTGATTCAAAGTTTTGGCAAGGGATTATTGAATTTACCAGCTTTATAAGTAACTTCTGTTATTCCTTTTCTTCCAAAGGATGGACCACAGCCATCAGCAAATAAAAGGTGACAAACCGGACATTTTAAAAACTGAATCTCACGAATCAATAGGACTGACTTTTCTTCAGCCACGTCAACACTGATTATGTTGGTTAAGGTTCATTTAAACCTGGCTATTAGCTGTAGCCTTTTTAGTTGATAGGAAATGTGTTTTGGGGTAGGCTTGGATCATTGTGCGGGCTCTGCCACTGAGCTACAGCCCACTTCACCCCATTTTAACCTTCGAACTGCTAACAAGGCTAGTGGGTCCCTGCCACTGTCACTGTGAAGCCGTGTTCACACTTACGGGGCCTTCTGAGTCGCCCTGATGCCAGGCCCCGTGGGGCTCACGGGGGAAGAGAGACCTTGTCTGGGGCTGGAGTCTGGAGACACTAAATGAGCTCTGTGGCTGCGGGTAATTGGAGGCCAGCAGGAAAACACTGTGTTGGAGGGAGAGGGGCCCCTGAGGCTGATGCAGTTCCCTTCAGAGGCATAAAACATGTTGAACGGTGCAGCCACCAGTTTGCACAGACACAGTGCCAAGCTGGCATCCCATGCCCTAGGAGTCGTTTCTGGTAAGGGAGTGCTTGTCAGCTCCTCCCTGGGGGGGGGGGGGGAACGTGACCCTGCAATGGGCTATGGATTCCCCTATATGGGACAAAAACTCCAGCATACGTGGGTACACAATTCACAAGTGTCTGGTGTGTCATTAATTTGCACCGCAGCGAATAGTATCTTGCTGTCCTTCATCTGAGCATTTAACATGCGTGTTCTGCTACCTGCGTATCTGGCTTTCTAAATGGCCTTTCAGTGGTTTGCTTTGCTCTGTTCCTACTCCTCCCTCTTTTGCCTGGTTCACGGTGGTAGCAACGAGACCGGTCACTCTGCCCCTGTACTAAAAGCCTGCTACTAGAATGATCGATCCTTCTGGCAAGGCAAATTCCATCATATTGCTCCTCTACTCCAAACCCTTCCACAGCTCCATCTCGGCCTTGGGATAAAATGTACACTCCTTAGCATGAATGCTGAATCCCTCGGTCCTGAGCTGGCCCGTGCTTATCTCAGTCTCTCTCTACACCTCTCTGCTGCTTCCCCCTCTTCCAAACAGCCTTGCTGAACCACTTCCAGTTCCAGAAAGGGCCACACTCTGCCTTCCCAGCTTTGTCTTACTACTCCCTCTGCCTGGATGCTCCGTCCCCATTCTCCCTGTGGCATGGCTGAATGATCCGTGAGCACCTGGCTCTGGTGTTCTTTTGTCTGCAAAGTCCTCTGTGGGCTCTGAGCCAGGCCGTGGGCCCCCCCACCCCCCGACCATGGGACCCAGGATGCTGCACACCAAGTACCCAGATACCAGAGGGTGAGCTTACGGGCAGGGGCGATGTCTTGTTCAGTCATCTCCCTTGTGCCCTGTATGGCAGCCGGCATAAACTGTGTTTATGGTAAAATGAAAATGGAAAAGCAGTACACAGGATTGGCAGAAAATGTTTGACCAGTGGGCACTGTGCTTGGTGGCTGAAGGGAACCTCTTGGCCTCTGACCATACGGAGCTGTGAGAGACCAACAGGGATGATATAGGTTTAGTGCAAGGTTCACTTTCACTGGGATTGGGTTTCTGAATCCCAGCCACACAGGATCTCCTTGTGGGTTAAGGGGGCCCAGCACATTGTTTCAGCCGTCATATCAAAGTGCTTCAGTTGTGGACATCACATTCCCCTCAGGAGAAAGCTCTTTGGGTCTGCCTATGCTCCCTTTTGACAGAGGTAATTGGCAATTTCTTTGCCAACCCTTTTGTGATTGAGAGTTCTGTTAAGGAATAAATATCATGGAAAAGTCCATATATAGCTCAATTGAGCTAAACAGGGATCTTCCTTTGGAAATCTCCTGTGAATATAATTTTGGGCCTCTTTTTCTGTCCTTCCTGTGCTCATAAATCAGGAGGCTCAGGGTCAGTTGAACGACAGAAGGTTTCTTCGTCCACCCACAGCCAGCCTCTAGGCAACTGAGATGGGGAGATATCCCAGTTCACGGTTCCTACCCTTGCTTCCATCCCTGAAGTGACTCCACGCACAGAGGGAGCCTAGATGCCGAATGGAACGCACTGGTGAAGTTGAGAATGACACCTCAGGCGTGAAACGGCCTTTTTTCTGCTCAGTAACCCCAGCCTGAAAGCCACCCAATTCTCTGAAATTTTAAGTGCCAGCCTGCGATTGTTTTTGCAACGCCAGAAAACACACTCCTGGGCAACCATAAGCTCCCCGCAGATTACCCTTCTCTGTGCAGCATGCACACCCTTCGCCTTTATCCATCCGGACACGAAGATCATTCCGCACTGTGTGCTGCCCAGTGCTCTCGTGTTCACGAATCAGGTTATATTCCCTTAGCAGCTAATTCCAAGGAAAGAACTGGCATCCTTCTAGCAGATAAGGATGATGTGATCCACGACATTCCCCTTTTTGTCCTGCTCGCCAGGACGTTCAGAGCCAAACTGCACGCTGATCAGAGTAAATACAGTGGCCTTTTCATGGCTTTGATTTTCAATTTCGATACTAGGTTACTTTCTTTTCTTTTCCTATGTCATTATATTTTCAAAAATGAAAAGACCCCCTCAAATCCTGAGATATTCTTGTCCAATAGCCCTCATGTCTTCACCACAGTCACCACACATTTCCTCAGGTGTCCCCAACTGCTCGACTTACAGGCTTAAGTGCGTGCCTTTTTTGGTGTGTGCGTGTACTCTCTGCTTGCCTGGGGTTTAGGGTCACTTCAGGGACAGTAAATGGAACGGCTTCACAAAGATTCCCTCCCCTCAGGCTGTTAACAGGGGACTTCAAGAGGTCTCTTAAACCCTCTTCCTTCTGACTGAAGACGAGACACAAGTTTGTCCGTATTTACAGGCAAATATTTCTTTCTGAACCCCGGAGAGGTGGGGGAGTCTAGAAAGGTCACTGAAAATACGCTGGATTTAAACAGCCAAAGCAACATTAGGTTTAACATACATTTAAAGTTAAGTCTTTAGTTCTCTTCTGTGGAGACATGAATTGATTTTATGGCTCATATATGGCCAACAGTTGGTCCCAGGTTACCACCCATAAGGAGTGAAAACATATTTGATCAAGTCCCTAAGACGCAGATAGCTTTAAGACGTATCTGCTTTGCAAACTTAGAAAGTGTATAGGGGCAAGTGTCTGAGTCATTCTACACAAAAATATAAGGGTTTAAGGAAAAGCACTATGACCCCAGAGATAATCTTTCACAAAACGGCCCCTAGTTCAGAACCTGGCTCTTTGAAGTACAGATTCCTAACAAGACTGCGGCTACCCCTTGTTGACAACCTTTCCCTCTACAGGCAAAAGCCAAACCACAAGTATTCTGCTACCGTTAACTTGTTAAGGCAGCAAATGCATAAACCGGAGTAAAATTAAAATATAAAATCTAAAACCATCTCAGTAGGTTTTGATGACACGCTGGTGCTATCACAGTTGTAGCTTTAGGGACATAGGTTATTTTCTGGGCCATAGCTTCATTTAAAAACATTTTTTAAAAAATGTTTATTTTGGAGAGAATGTGTGTATGAGTAGGGTAGGGGCAGAGAGAGAGGGAAACACAGAATCTGGAACAGGCTCCA